ATACATTGTAATATAATGGCCATTGCAGGAGTAGCTAACACCCCCATCAGGTTACACAGTGATCATTCCTCTTTAGTGGTTAGAATCATTAAGATCTAGTCTCTTAGCCAGTGTGATGACTATAATACAATATTGTTGTCTATACTCAATGGGTCTCCAGGGCTTACTTACTACTCCTTGCAAATTCTTACTCTTAAAGAGCACATGTGCCATCTTCTCCCTGCCCCCAGGCCCTGGAAACTGCCACTGTACTCCCTCTTTTTACTAGTTTGGCTTTTCGAGTCCACATGTAAGTGATATCATACAGTGCTTGACTTTGTCTGTCTGACTCATCTCACTTAGCTTAATGTGCTCCAGATCAATAGCAGTTAAATTCGGGGTGTTTGGGGTCTATAGCTTTTGCCTAATTTGCCTTTCTTTTCATCTAGCTACTTGGCGCCTCTTCTCTAGATTAAACCATTTTTTAAGTTTAACTCCTTATTTCCCTATTAGATTTGGATGACAATTTTATAGATTTATATATATATATATACTAGAGGCCTGGTGCACAAAAATTTGTGCACTCGGCAGGGAGGCGTGTCCCTCAGCCCTGCCTGTGCCCTCTCGCAGTCTGGGACCCCTCAGGAGATAACAACCTGCTGGCTTAGGCCTGCTCCTGGGTGGCAGAGGGCAGGCCTAATCCCTAGGTGCAACCCCTGGTCGGGCTCAGAGCAGGGCCAATTGGGGAGTTGGGGCTCCGCCCCCTGTCATGCACAGAGCAGGGCGGATCGGGAAGTTGCGATGCCACCCTCAGTCACCCTCAGGGTAGGGCCGATTGGGGGGTTGGGGCACCGCCCCCTGTCACACTCAAGGCAGGGTCGATGGGGAGGTTGCGGCGCCATCTCCTGTCATGCACAGAGCAGGGCCAATCAGGGGGTTGGGGCGCTGCCCCTTGTCACTCACCGAGCAGGGCCCATCAGGGGATTTGGGGCTCCATACCCTGTCACGCACAAAGCAGGGTCGATCAGGGGGTTGGGGAGCTCACCCTTGTCATGCACAGAGCAGGGCCAATCAGGGGGTTGAGGAGCTCCCCCCTGTCACTCACAGAGTAGGGCCGATAGGGGAGTTGGGGCACTGCACCCTGTCACACTCAGGGCAGGGCCGATGGGGAGGTTATGGCTCTACCCCGTCACACACAGAGCAGGGCCCATGGGGGGTTTGGGTGCCACACACCCTGTCACACACAGAGCAGCAGGGCGATCAGGGGGTTGGGGAGCTCCCCCCCATCATGCACAGAGCAGGGCTGATCAGGGGGTTGGGGCACCTTCCCCTGTCACAAACAGAGCAGGGCGGATAGGGAGGTTGTGGCCCCACCCCCTGTCATACACAGAGCCGCAGGGCGATCAGGGGGTTTGGGCGTGGCCCCCTGTCATGCTGATCCCGGTGCCGGGAGGCCTGGCTGCTCCACTGATCCCGGTGCTGGGAGGCATATTACCTTTTTACTATATAGGATAGAGGCCTGGTGCACAGGTGGGGGCCAGCTGGTTTGCCCTGAAGGGTGTCCTGGATCAGGGTGGGGGTCCCCACTGGGGTGCCTGGCCAGCCTGGATGAGGGGATGATGGCTGTTTGCAGCTGGTCACACACCCTTCAGGGTGGGGGTCCCCACTGGGGTGCCTGGCCAGTCTGGGTGAGGGGCTGAGGGCTGTTTTCAGTCTGGCGGGTGACTGAAGCTCCCAACCGCTCCTTTTTTTTCTTTTTTTTTATTCTGGGCCAGCTTTAGCTCTGAGGCTTGGCTCCAGCTCTTAGGCCTCAGCTGCTGAAAGCAGGTATCTGGTTTGTTTGGGTTCTAAAATCAAACACTGTTTCAACTCCAGCTCTGAGATCCCAGCTGGCTGAAAGCAGGTTTCCGGAGTTTGTTTAGCTTCTATATTTGTAACAATGTTTCAAACTGCAAGCTCAGAGGCCGGCAAAGCAGGCGGGGAATGTTGGAGTCCTCCGTCATTGAAGCAAGCAAGCCTCATGTTCGCTTCAAGCTGCCTGGCTTCCGGCCGCCATCTTGGCTGTCAGTTAATTTGCATATCGCCCTGATTAGCCAATGGGAAGGGTAGCGGAGGTATGGCTAATTACCATGTTTCTCTTTTATTAGATAGGAGATATATATATATATATATATATATATATATATATATATATACACACACTAGAGGCCCAGTGCACAAAAATTTGTGCACTTGGGAGGGTCCCTCAGCCCGGCCAGTGCCCTATCACAGTCTGGCCACAGCCCCCCAGCAGGGACCCTTACCCCATGAGGGTGATGGCTGTTTGTAGGACCCCTTGGGGAATGACCACCTGCTGGCTTAGGCCCGCTCCCCGGGGGAATGGGCCTAAGCTGGCAGTCAGACATAACCTCTGGCAGCCCGGGAGCCCTCGGGGGATGTCCACTTGCCAGCGGGGAGAGGGCCTAGCTGCAGTCAGACATCCTTAGCGCTGCTGAGGGGGCGGGAGAGGCTCCCATCACCACCGCTGTACTGGCAGCCCTCAGCCTGGCTTGTGGCTGAGCAGAGCTCCCCCTGTGGGAGCGCACTGACCACCAGGGGGCAGCTCCTGCATTAAGCGTCTGCCCCCTGGTGGTCGGTGTGTGTCATTGTGACCAGTGATTCCCAGTCCTCTGCTGTTAGGATCAATTTGCATATTACCCTTTTATTATATAGGATAGAGGCCTGGTGCATGGGTGGGGGCTGGCTGGTTTGCCCTGAAGGGTGTCCCGGATAAGGGTGGGGGTCTCACTGGGGTGCCTGGCCAGCCTGGGTGAGTGGCCGATGGCTGTTTGCAGGCTGGCCACAGTCCCCCAGCAGGGACCCTTACCCCATGAGGGTGTGGCCAGCTTGGGTGAGGAGCTGATGGCTGTTTGTAGGTTGGCCACAGCCCCTTCAGGGTGTGGGACCCCACTGGAGTGCCTGTCCAGCCTGCAAACAGCCATCAGCTGGGGTGCCTGGCCAGCCTGGGTGAGTGGCTGATGGCTGTTTGCAGGCTGGCCACAGCCCCCCAGCGGGGACCCTTACCCCATGAGGCTATGGCCAGCCTAGGTGAGGGGCTGATGGCTCTTTGCAGGCTGGCCACAGCCCCTTCAGGGTGGGGTTCCCCCCTGGGGTGCCTGACCAGCCTGAGTGAGGAGCTGATGGCTGTTTGTAGGTTGGCCACAGCTCCTTCAAGGTGGGGGACCCTGCTGGGGTGCCTAGCCAGCCTGTATGAGGAGCTGAGGGCAGTTTCAGGCTAGCCACACCGCCTTCAGGGTGGGGGTCCCCCCTGGGGTGCCTGGCCAGCCTGGGTGAGGGGTTTATGGCTGTTTGCAGGCTGGCCACAGCCCCTTCAGGTTGGGGAACCCTGCTGGGGTGCCTGGCCACCCTGGGTGAGGGGCTGATGGCTGTTTGCAGGCTGGCCAAGCCCCCCAGCAGGGACCTTCACTCCATGAGGGTGTGGCCATGCTGGGTGAGGGGTTCATGGCTGTTTGCAGGCTGGCCACAGCCCCAGCCACCCAAGTTCCCTGTGGAGGCTGGCTGGAAGCAGGTATCTGGGATTTATTTAGCTTCTATAATTGAAACTTTGTTGCCTTTTGTGGAGGCCACAGCCGGCCAGAGCAGGCGGGAAGCTTGGCTTCCTCCATCACTGGGGCAACCAAGCCTCCTGCTTGCTCCAGCTCCGTGGTTGCTGGCCGCCATCTTGGTTTGGTCAATTTGCATATAGTCGCTCTGATTGGCTGGTGGGTGTGGCTTGAGCATAGCGAAGGTACGGTCAATTAGCATCTTTGTCTTTTATTAGTGTAGATATATGAATTCTTACAACAACCACTTTAGAGCCTTGCTGGGACCTTCTCTGCTTTGTCTGTTGAGCACTTATGGTTTGCAAAGGACTCTACTAGGCACTTTGAGTTACTGCTCCAACCCCTGGGAGTTACACAGTGGAGATCCTGCTTGCAGGCTGAGGAGCTGAGACTCATGGAGGGCTCTCACTCCTGCCCACTTCCCAAAGCTGGGGAAGGAGGTGGCTCCAAGCAGAGCTCAGGCCACCCCACACCAGAGCTTGATTCTCAACTGTGTGGTGAACCCCACCTGCCAACAGGACTTAGACTAAAATTTCAAAGGATCATCCACTTAGACATGTTGTCTGAGCGATGACATACCTGCTTCTGAGCTTTTTATCCCAGTGAGCTTTTGTCCTTCTCACTTAGGTTTGAACCTTTCAGTGAGCATTCTTGCCCTCCTTCCTCCAATGAGCAAGCTCTGTGTTTTACTTGATCCCCTCATTTTTGATATATTTTCTCCTCAGAGAGAACATCCTTATTAGAACGGACTATATACAGGTAAGGACAAAAGCAGGTTTACAGTTGTTCATATGGAAAATAATGCAATCATTAATAAAAAAATAATACAAGAATAAACTAAACCAAAAAAAAAAAGAATAAACTAAACCTACTTTTGCCCCACCCTGTATAGCCAGAAAGATCAATCTATTTATGTACATCTTTTTAAAGTATATTTTTTATTCATTTCAGAGAGGAAGGGAAAGGGAGAGAGAGAGAGAAACATCAATGATGATCGAGAATTACTGGCCAGCTGCCTCCTGCACCCCCCACACTGGGGATCAAGCCTGCAACCCATGCATGTGCCCTGACCGGGAATCAAACCAGCAACCTCTTGGTTCCTTGGTTGACACTCAACCTCCGAGTCACACCAGCTGGGCTATTTATGTAAATCTTTATTCTTTATCTACTAGTATCATTTGGATTCCCCAATTTCCTCTATTTCCATTAAAAAATAAGTAAGCATACATGTAAAATAGACATATGTACATATTATACATGACTGAATAAATTTGCCTGAAATTCACAGGACCTTATCTTCCTCACAGCTCAGCGGTAGTGTACCTTCTGTAGACTGTTTGTTTTTCTCGTGGTTTACCCAAATGGCACCTGAGCAACCCAAGGTAGTAATCATTTCCTTTCTCCCCTCCCTCCCCACAGAAGCTCAGAAGAAGCAATTGGAAGAGAGTATAGAGCTGATCCAAGAGGAATGTGTGTCGGAGAACGCAGACCACTCTCCCGAGGAGCCTGCAGAAGGAGGGCCCGACGCAGACGGCGAGGAGATGACTGACGGTGTAGAGGAGGACTTCGAGGAAGATGGGGGCCACGCACTGGTAGGAACTAAACGTGTGGTGTCCGTGCCCATTGGGAACAGCACCAGCCTGTCAGCAGCTCATTCGGTTTAGGAGAAAAATTCAATATTCGGGGCTAGTTTCTTTCTTCTGTGCATTTGTTTAAGGCAGCGTCAGTCCAGTGCTTTGCACAGATAAGTGCTCAACACATCTTTGCTAACGTGAAGCACGAGGGAGTCCATGAAGAAATGGAAATAGGATGCATGCGATTAGATATACTTCAAGTCCCAAAAGGAAGATTCTTTTTCCCAAATGCTCCATCATGAAAGCAACCTTGTGTGTATTCAGTTGAATTGCACTTCAACTGTATGTGGATATAAGCTCCCAGTAACAGACCACTTATGGGAAGATGCCCAGTGCCCCTCTTATCCAGCCATGTCCACTGAGCTGACTGTCTCTGCTAGCCACAGGCCAGCCGTCCTTCCTGCACTCGCTCACTGAGGTGACCCCCTGGTTCACAGCCGGTCCCATCAGCTGGGCCTGTGCAGCTGAGCAGCCAGTCTGATGAGTTGGGGACTTAGCTGAGACTTCATTTTGCACATTTTATGTTCCCACTGTTGCCATCATTACACTGCTCGTCTCCAGATGTCCTCTTTCCCATAACACGCCGGGGACTTGGTAAATACATGCTGAGGGGCATGCTCATTCTTATATTTTATCAGCCATGAAATTAGGTATTCTAGCCTAAGGGGCTGACTAATAACAGTGTGTGTGTGTGTGTGTGTGTGTGTGTGTGTGTGTGTGTGTGTGGTGAACTCTCAAACATCAATGGAATAATCACCCCATCAATATTTTATTTATGTAACTCAATATTGGTTTTTAACATTCCAGCTCTGTCTAAATTGCACGGCATCTTCACTTAAACTTTTCCAAGATCAGCCATTAACATTCACCCTTATTTCTACAAAAGACTGCATCCGTTTGAAGGACTTAAGGAGCTTTCTTGGAATTGTTTTGATGTTAGGAGTCTGTTGAGCAGGGACCAGAATGAAGAGGGACGAAGTTTCTGGGCTTCTCCTCAGGTTTCCTCAGCCTGCCCAGTCAGACTCCTGCTCTCCCCGAGGCACCTGCAGGCCCCCGCCGCCATTCCCAATGCTTACCTTCTGTTCTGACTTCAACTCACTGCTCAGCAGCGTTGGGCTGAGAGTTGGTTACCAGTTGCTCATTCTCAGTTTCCTCCGCTGGTAACTTTCCCTCCAGACCCCATTTTAAATATTGGAGCAGCCCAGACCTTGTCGTGGGCCACCTCCTCGTTCGGCACACTCTCCCAGGGTGACCTCAAATACCAGAGCTTCAAATAGTATGTATAGGCCAGAGCTTCCCAAACCTGGATTTCTAGTCCTGATCTCCTCCTGGAAGTCTAGACTCCAGTATTCACATACCTGTTTCCTCATAGGTCTCCAATGAACAATGAAATGTGACACACCAGGCAGTCTTGATGTTTTTCCAGCCAATTTATTCCTTTCCTGTCTTCCTCATTCTCGTAAAAAAAAAAAAAAAAAAAGTAACCCTAGCTGGTTTGGCTCAGTGGATAGAGTGTCGGCCTGGGGCCTGAAGGGTCCTGGGTTCGATTCCTGGTCAGGGCATATGCCTGGGTTGCAGGCTTGATCCTCAGTAGGGGGAGTGCAGGAGGCATCAATGATTCTCTCTCATCCTTAATGTTTCTATCTCTCTCTCCCTCTCCATTCCTGTCTAAACTCAAAATATATTTTTTTAAAATGTCATCATCCCATTATTAAAACCAAAGGACTAGCATTACCTCTGATTCCCTCTACCCTCCCCATTAATTCTACCTCCAAATCACAGCCCAAAGCTAGTCCTATCACCATGTCAGCCGTGCAATCCATTCTCCACACAAGAAGAATAGAAATCGATTTAAACTGTACATCCAATCATGCCACTCCCTGGCTTAAAACCTTGCAGTGCCTTTGATCATCTCACTTAGAATCAAGTCCAAGTGTAAATGGTGAGGATGCTGGGAGGAAGCTGCTGGTGGAGAGAGAACTTGTGGTGACAGGAGACAACCCCTGCCTGACCAAGGACCGCTGTGTGAGTGATGGTCTAGCACAGGCCTGGGCAGAGCAGGCACCCTCAGTTTGTGCTTTGTGGAAGGGCACTTGTACCCCAAGGTGCCCTTAGGGCAGATCCCTCAGGTTCTCTCAGGTCCCAGTGTAAAACCACACTGGGGTTCAAATGAAAGCTCAGAGAATGAAGCCCTGTCCCCAGCTCCAAGCTGGAGTCAGCTCCCAGAGCCCAGAGCACCACCGCCTGAAACTGGAACCCACCCAGCCCACCATGGAGCTTCTGCCTGAGCATGTGCAGGTCACCCCCTTCTGCCCTGTCCCTCTTCACACTGGTCCCCAAGCAGCAGCCAGTGTGGTCCTGTTAGCCCTGAGCTAGGCAGGTCATTCTGCTTAAGACTCTCCAACAGAGGAATCAAGATGGCAGAATAGGTAAACACCTGTACTTGCTACCTCCCACAACCACATCAAAATTACAACTAAAATACAGAACAACTATCATCCAGAACCACAGAAAAGCTGGCTGAGTGGAAGTCCTACAACTAGAGAAGTAAAGAAGAAAGCGCATTGAGACTAGTAGGAGGTGCGGAGGCACGGAATGGGCTGGTCCGGCACCCATGTATGCAGCTTTTATAATCAGGAGGGAGATCGCCTCTACAGAGGCCGCCCAGAGGAGCAAAGGGTCCGAGCCCCACACCAGGCCCCCAGCCCAGGGTTCCAGAGCTGGGGAAAGAAATCCCTACAAGCAGTAAGAACTATGGGCTGTAAAAACCAGCATGAATTGGGGCTCAGTGACACAGAGGCTGCTGGAGACTCAGCTCCTCCTCTTAAAAGGCTGGCACTACAAACTGAACTTACAAGTTTCTGCTTGCTCTGAGCTCCAGTGCCTGGTGAGGCTCTGGGGGACCCAGACACATACAAGGAGAAATTGGACTGTCTGGCTTCAGGGAAGGAATGTGGGGGTGGCTTTCTTCCAGACAGAGGTGTTCACAGTGGTCATTGTTTCTGTGCTGAGACCTCCCCAGTGTAGGGCTGACTGGCAGCCATTTCTTTTTTTTTTTTTTTTTTTTTCTTTTTGTTTATTGCTTAAAGTATTACAAAGAGTATGACATATGTCTCCTTCCCCCACCCCTTGACATTCCCCGGCCTCCCCTACCCCCCAATGTCTTATGTCCATTGGTTATGCTTATATACATGCATACAAGTCCTTCGGTTGATCTCTTACCCACCCGCCTCCTGCCCTCCCACCCTCCCCAGCCTTCCTGCTGTAGTTTGACAGTCTGTTCGAGGCAGCTCTGCCTCTGTATCTATTTTTGTTCATCAGTTTATAATGGTCTTTATTATCCATAAATGAGTGAGATCATGTGGTATTTTTCTTTCATTGACTGGCTTATTTCACTTACCATAATGCTCTCCAGTTCCATCCATGCTGTTGCAAATGGTAAGAATTCCTTCTTTTTTACTGCAGCATAGTATTCCATTGTGTAGATGTACCACAGTTTTCTAATCCATTCATCTACTGATGGGCACTTAGGCTGTTTCCAGATCTTTGCTATGGTAAATTGTGCTGCCAAAAACATAGGGATGCATATATCCTTTCTGATTGGTGTTTCTAGTTTCTTGGGATATATTCCTAGAAGTGGGATCACTGGGTCAAATGGGAGTTCCATTTTTAACTTTTTGAGGAAACTCCATACTGTCTTCCATAGTGGCTGCACCAGTCTGCATTCCTACCAGCAGTGCACGAGAGTTCCCTCTTCTCTGCATCCTCTCCAGCACTTGTCGTTTGTTGATTTGTTGATGATAGCCAGTCTGACAGGTGTGAGATGATACCTCATTGCTATATTGATTTGCATCTCTCAGATTATTAGTGACTTTGAGCATGTTTTCATATGTCTCTTGGCCTTCTGTATGTCCTCTTTTGAAAGGCGTCTATTTAGGTCCTTTGCACATTTTTTTTTATTGGATTGTTTGTCTTCCTTTTGTTAAGTTGTATGAGTTCCCTATAAATGTTGGAGATTAAACCCTTATTGGTGATAACACTGGCAAATATGTTTTCCCACACAGTGGGTTTTCTCGTTGTTTTGTTGATGGTGTCTTTTGCTGTGCAGAAGCTTTTTATTGTGATGTAGTCCCATTTGTTTATTTTCTCTTTAGTTTCCAATGCCCTAGGAGCAGTATCAGTGAAGAAATTGCTTCGGCATATGTCTGAGATTTTGTTGCTTTTGGGTTCCTCTAGTATTTTTATGGTTTCCCATCTTACATTTAAGTCCTTTATCCATTTTGAGTTTATTTTTGTGTATGCTGTAAGTTGGTGGTCTAGTTTCATTTTTTGGCATGTATCTGTTCAATTTTCCCAACACCATTTATTGAAGAGACTGTCTTGACTTCATTGTATGTTCTTGCCTCCTTTGTCAAATATTAATTGAGCATATTGGTTAGGGTCGATTTCTGGATTCTCTATTCTATTCCATTGGTCTATATGTCTGTTCTTGTGCCAGTACCAGGCAGTTTTGAGAACAGTGGCTTTGTAATACAGCTTGATATCTGGTATTGAGATCCCACCTACTTTGTTCTTCTTTCTTAGGATTGCTGCAGCTATTTGGGGGTTTTTTTTATTCCAGATGAATTTTTGGAAAGTTCGTTGTAGGTCTGTGAAATATGCCATTGGTATTTTAATGGGAAGTGTGTTGAATTTATAGATTGCTTTGGATAGTATGGACATTTTCATGATGTTGATTCTACCAATCCATGAACATGGTATGTACTTCCATCTGTTGACAGCGATTTCTGTTTGCTTTGCCCTGAAGATTCCCTGAGACACCGCCCCACCCAATTTACAACCCCACCCAAGCTGTGTTCAGCGGCTTTTGCATATGAATGGCATGTCCTTTCTCAGCCTAAAACCTGTCAAATAAGCTGCAGCTGGGTCAGGGAGCCCCAAAGCTATTAATAAAAAGC